ATGAAGGATTTTGCAAAGTAAATTCTAAGTCAAATTATTTAAACATGCTTCAAACAGAATTTTTACTGCTCCTGGTCCTGATCAAAGTAATTATTTTCGCCTTGACCAGCAAAGAGTTTGCACCATTTTATGGTATGGCTGCAAGTTACCAGCTCTGTGGCTTAGTGGTATGGGTATCCGCTCTGAGAATGGGTCAAATGTAGAGGACAAATTTCACACCAGTGTGTGACAACTACTGGAACTTTAATCTTTAAGTTTTCATTAAGTTGCAACAAAAGCAGCAATATTAATGCCACAGAGAATTGGTATACTTTTGTAGCCTGGCAAGCCATTCTATATATTTGTGAATGTATAGCCTGGCCAGCACCCATAGGGATAGTTGAGTTGAAGGGCGAAATTTATGGTTGCCTTTCAAACTGTCTCGGCATTCAAAAAACAACGCGGCATACTCACCGCTACAGATGCAAGTCAGCGGGCCAGTCCACCATACACTGTTGAAGAATACGTAAAATACATTATTTTTCTAAACTTAAGTGCCTCTTTCTGCTCTTGACTCCAAGAAAAGCACAAGTTAAAATTGTCCAAATTTGATACCAAAGCTGTTTCAAACGAGTGGTTGCCATCTTAGTTGTATTGCTCCATTGCATCCTCCCGCCCACCAAACCGATTTGGCTCTGTGACTGGCCTACCAAACCAATGTAGTGCTATGATTGGTCCACCAAACTGATAGACCGCTTTGATTGGCCTGCCAAACTGATTGAGCGCATTGATTGGCCCACCAAACCAGTAGCGTGCTGTGATTCACCCACCAAACCAATGGAGCAATAAGATTGGAACACCAAACCAATAGAGCACTGTGATTAGCCCACCAAACCAATAGAGCGCTTTGATTGGCCCACCAAACCAATAGTGTTGTGATTGGATTGCCACTAGACTGGCCAGGGCTGCGGAGGTTCTAACGGACCAAGGCTAGACCAGCATGCAGAGCAAGATCATTTTGCTTCTGCTACTGTCCATCAAGATTCCTAGGCTAATACATTTTGCTTTATAAACTGACCTTTTAAGCACCTAAATTTTAGCATTTTTTATTTCTAAAAGCTGTGGAAACTCTGCAGCCAGAGGCGTTTGATGACTTTGGTTTTACCTACATTGCTCCGAGGTGAGTGCTCCTCCCATATCACTGTACAAGAATAGGCAAAACAATGAGGGTACAGAGACTCAAACTCTGTAATACTGTTTCTTCAGGGAGTACTGCAAAGACCTGAAGCTGTCTCTGAACAACACAGAGTTTCTCCTCGACTTTCACCAGTATATTGATGGAAACACCCCAGATGCATGTGAGTCATGCATCTCTTTTGCTGTTACCTTTCTTGACACATTCATACAGGTTGTGATGGTTTCATACATTATTTATAGTCATGGAATTGACCAAAATTGAAAAATTTTTATGGTTTCAACGGATTGCTTTTTCATCCTGCGCTACAAAGTCACGCTCAAATAAATGCATGTTACCAATCAGCCATTCTGATATCATGATCTCAGCATTAGCACACTGTAAGCAGGGTGACCTCAGATTGAACGATTAGGTTTCCTAGAAGCCCGATGTTGTCATTCTATACAGTGACTCATGGCATTTGATTTGCATCCCTCTAATAGATTTCACTCCTAGTATGGCTTGCCATCATCATCCAGCAAATGGATTAACATATTTTGGATCCATTTGAGCTCAAGATCAAGTCATTCACTTTAGCATTAATGTTTTTCTTGCTTCTGTTGTGTTGAGTGTTTTTATTTTTATTATTTTTTTTTTTACTTTTAGACACAATTTAAAACATCAGTCAAGAGTTACTGTGTTGAATGTATGTGGTTACTTTGAAGGAAATTGATTTTATTTTGAAAAGTCCTCTTCTTGACAAGAAGGCTGTAACTTAATACCTCCTCATTATCTCTAGTCCCTCTTTGAATAGCAAGGGCCACTCAGGTCGCTCTGCTGGATGATTTACTGCAGCGCGCTACGCTTTTTTCTTTAGAGAAAGGCAGCCCTTTTTCCAGATCCTATCTTTCGCCTTACAATTTAGTCAATGAACAGATGTGATTACTTAATTAGTTGCATTGGGCAGTGACACTTGACCAGTTCTTTTAGCAAGGCAAGCATGTTCACTTTTTCTGCCCAGATGTATTAAGACAGCTATTATTTTCATTACCATAATTTTCCTTCCATATGCTTTATGTGCTGCTGTAATATTTGCAATATGTGAAATTCATCTCATCTCTAATCCAGGCAATGAGTCCCTTGTGAGTCGACTGATCCTGGATGCAGGTCTGACAGCTGAACTGGTTAAACTTTGGAAAGAGCAGACTTTGTGAGTTCCAAACATTCAACATTTTTCTTCTTCCAAGCAATGTAGCAATCAATATGTGTGTGTATGTATATATATATATATATATATATATATATATATATATATATATATATATATATATATATATATATATACACACACATGTATATATATATATATATATATATATATATATATATGTATATATATATATATATATATATATATACACACACATGTATATATATATATATATGTATATATATATATATATACACACATATGTATATATATGTATATATATACATATGTGTGTATATATATATATATATATATATATATATATATATATATATATATATATATATATATACACACACATATGTATATATATATATATATATATATATTTACGTGTGTGTGTACTCGCGCGCGCGCGCGTGTGTGTGTGTGTGTGTGTGTGTGTGTGTGTATGTGTGTGTGTGTTTTCTTCATGTATTGCATTCCATTTTACAGTTGTGTGTTTTCCTCTGAAGTGTGATGTCTGATGCCTATTTCATGCACCATTTATTGACTAGCATAGTCTTAACGTTTTCTGCTTTATTATAGATGATTTGATCCGATCTTTGATCCGATCTTGCCAGTGAAACATAATAAAAGAAAATCTCAAAATGCGTATCATTACCAAGATATTAAACTAAGCCGAGACATATTTTTTTCAGGGGAAAACACAGTAATTAGATCAGTGTGTTCCTTTTGATAATGTGCCCACTTGTCTGAAAAAATCTACACACACGTTTGGAAATTCTTGGGAGCGTCTGTTTATCATTAGCATATACAGCGGTGAGACAAGTGACTGGGTTTTGAACTGTTGGTGTTGCTATATCACTGCACCTAATTGTCCTAGGCTTCACACTACTCTTGTCATTAATGGTGTCATTGACTTTGACATTTGATTGGGTGTTTTGCGCTTTCTTAGGGATGGGATGGTGGCAAGGTTTGTTGCCACAGATGGCGGGATAACACGAGTTTATCCAAGAAGGTACTCTTCCATTTTTTTAGCTCTTAGTGTTAGCGCTGCTGTTATAAAACATTTTGGTGTCTTTTCCAACATATCAGCTGGTGTAAATGTATGAGAGAAGTTTTGAAGCACTAATATCCCCAAACACTGCTAGAGAGTGTTCTATTGAAACAAATTATAAGGTGGGCTTCACATGAGAAGCAATGGACTCTGCCATTGATATGTATTTACTGAATGGAAGAAGCACTGTGGTTTGCTGCGCCAAGCTGAGCAATGCACAAAGCGCATGTCTTTGGACATGCAATCCTGCAAACAGCTTCAGTCCAACTCACTGACATTCTTCAGCATCTCCAGTCAGAGGGTATTACACACACAAAAGAACATTAGCATGTGTGTCTACTGAAGCTGATCAATCTGAGAGTCTATTATTTTATTTTCGTATGGAAACTATCCCCCAACATGCCGGCAGCTCTTACACTGCTCTCCACTTGATGTGAGATGAACACGAAGGCAGTTGTTGAACAAGCGCTGCTACTGAATAGACATAAATTCTCAAAAGGTCTGCAATCAAAATCTCTGTATCCTGCTGTTCTGTCTTTTATTCTCAATTTTCTGGCACATTTTGTAGTTTTTGTTTTGTTTTTTTCTTTAGAAGTCAATCTGACAAGCAAAAGGAACGTTCATGCTATTACTTTCTAGGTACTGATCACAGTTTGTATGTTTGCAGCCAAATCCCATGATTTGAGCAAACTTTCCAGGGCTACCTCAGTGAATGATGCTTACCTTTTGCTAGAATCTGTGTCTTATCTCTAACAGCTGACAAAAGCAGAAGCTTGTCAAATTTCTGAACTGTGTGGCTCAACCTTAACTTTCACTGTGCATCAATAATGTGAATTATGCTTGGGAAGTCTACTGTTTTCAGACAAAACTAAACTAAAAGTATATATTTTTAAATAGGTTGAAAACTGAAAGATTTATGAATTATTCCTTTTATTCTGCATTTTGCAAACACTTTAGAATACCACTGTATTAAAAGTATCTATCTGAAAAACAAAGACCACATTTAGGTACTTTGTCTTACCGTGACAAAGATGCTATCTAGTAGGCTTACATTTGCACAATTAAGAGTAGCATAACCACACTTAAAATCTGCTGTTAAGTATTTCTTGTGAAGTTTCATGCTTAGAAATGTCAGTTTGTATCATGTGCCGTGTACATTTTTAGTGCTGGAGAGGAATGGGCCGAGAATCCAGAGACATACGAGTCCAGCTTCTACAAAAGGACCTTGGATAATGAAATATACATATTCACAGCTCCGTCTTTCAACAGTAAGTGTGGGGATCGTCAGTAAGGGTCTGTATAGTTTGTCCTGTTCACTGCCTTTGGACATCATCCCACTCCTACTGGCAGCAATCGGACTCTTAGGCCTCTGATATCACTCCCTTTATCCTTTTCTTTTTCCTGTTGTTTTTCAGTGAAGAGCCCTGCTATCCTTACCTCCCCCACCCCCCCCCCCCCCCCCCCCCCTTTTCCCTTGTATACATCCTGTCATCTCCACTGATCTCTCTAACAGACATCAGGACTGGCAAATGTCAGTGTTACAGCAACAGCACACTTGACTGGATTAACACATGTTCTGGCTTCATAGACTCAACACATAAATTACAGTAGCAACAAAATGCATGGAATCCCCTGCACAAAATAATTCATATTTGATCATGTTTACATAGTGCTCAGTAAAATAATCGCTGCCATATGTGTACTTGCTTTTGGGTAAACATATATTTTGTCCTTTCTTTTGTCCCAAATAAAAATTTCAGCAGATGCCAGAGAGCCTGTGTCTGAGTCAGGTATCCTTGTAAGCAAAGCAGTCGACCTCATCGTGGATGAAGTCACACTCAAACCAGCAGGTCTGTCTAATTCATACCAGACTGATTAGTTTTTGGGGTTTTTTGTGCAAAAGAAATTTACAGACAACTGTCCTTTTTTTTCCAATTTATAGTTGTAGGAGTGAAGCTTAATGTTTCGTTTTGGATGAACAGTTTCATTAATGCAACATTGAAACTAAATGTAAGTTTCTATTATACAGTTTGTATCATAACTGATAATGCTGATGACCTTTTTACTGGTGATGTAGAACAAACAAAACAAAGAAGAAAAATTTTTTTTTTTTACATTCTAGTGCAAGGATGAGATTTGTGGCTGTCTGAGGAATGACAAGGTAGTGTGATGTAGTAAATGCCTTCAACTGGAAAGTTAATTCATATTTGGTATACTTTGTTGGCGTTATTTTATTATGTTTCACCTGCTTTAAAAATAAGTTAGCATTTTTTGTCTATTTATAAAATGGTATTTATAGGTTCCTTAATGCTGTATTTTTATGTTTTAAAAACAAATATTGAAAAAAAATGTATTTATTTCAGCAAGTTGACTGCGTGATATTGGATGATGGAGGATTTCTTCTTATGTCAAATCGAGAAGAATATATTTCCCTGGTGAGTCATCGTCAGAAAATTATTCCCTTGTATCATTTCTATCTTTTGGTTTAACTTTAGTTTAGCTTAGTTCTTCACTTTAAATGCAATCATTGATGAGTTAACACACACAGTAATAATCATTCATCCTTACAAACTCAAGGATGTTGTTTTTTTGCCACTCACTAAAACAGGTCCAAACATCTTCACCTTGCGAGCTACTCTCTTGAGCAGCTTGACCGGAAGCGTCAAGGGACGGGGGGTGGGGGTGGGGGGTGTTGTTGCTGCCATAGGGTTGGATCAATCTGGGGGGGGGGGGGGGGGGGGGGGTCCTGCGATCGACGTGGTCACCTCTGCACTTGGGTTAACATCCATACATAATGTATATAGTTCCCTTGTTTTAGAGATAGTGGTAGATTACTGGAAATTCTCCAAGAGATGCTTCTGAAAATCATCCTAATCATATGCCCGTGTCAGCTGACTTATTTTGACGCAGACTTTGAGGTATGCCCAGATGGCCTGTATTTGCTGTTGTGCCTTCTAGGGCTCTACAACTCCCCAAGGCACTTTATAACACAGTCATTCACCCATGCACACACATTCACACACAAGCAGTGATGAGCAACATTGTAGCCACAGCAGCCCTAGGCGCAATGACAGTCGAGCACGAGTACCACCGGTCCCTCCAACAGCCACCAGCAGGCATGTGTCCTGCCCAACACAATTGTTGCTTTGGTTATGCAGAACCAGGTAACTAGGTAACACCCCATGCACAAAACTTTAGTGTGTAAAGATCACTAAATTCATGTGGATTGTATAATGACCCCTCGGCAGCTGTGCAAGGATTACCCGCCCAACTGCTCCTACTGAATAATCCCCAATTTACTCGGAGTGTACATTAGAATCTGAATCTTTACGGCTTCCACAAAGAATAAAACTTGTTCAATCCAATCAGAGCATTAATACCATCTGTGGTATGGTGCGGACCCTGATTCTACTCAACAAGCAATGTCTTCATCCTCCATGTGAAATTAAAGAGATGTTTTTGCTATAGCAACACAACAATATCCCAAGCTATGAACAACCCATGACCTTAATGATTATCAAAGAAGTTAAAAATAAGATTTTGCCATTGTCATAAAATTAGACTAGTCTCTTATAGTGGTTAAATAAATGTCTTTCAATTGAGCTACATTCCAAGGGTGGCCTATTTGCTCAGAGCTGTAACTCCTACAGAACAGCATTGCAACATTGTCTTTGGTATAATAAAACTCTTGTCACTGAAGGAGGTTCAAAGGGAACTCAGGCAGTTTTCAGTCAGTTATTGAGGCTGCACTCAAGTGCATCCCCTGAGTATGTAAGAAATCTGCTCTGCTACGTTAACTCTGCCCCTTCTTGGCTTCTCTCAGCCCCTGCCTGTCGGTGGTAGACCATACAGTGCAGTGGGTTTTGGAAGCATTTCTGTCCTGTCAAGACAGGACACGGGCTGTCTTAGATCTGTTCTACAATCACAAAATCTGTCAAACAATTGTTCTTCTTCAATCATTTGATTAAGCACATTATATATATATATATATATATATATATATATATATATATATATATATATATATATATATATATATATATATATATATATCCATAGGGTCTTCACAGGAACATGCCGACTTAACTAAACTTAATACAATAATGTATTTTAATGACGGAAACAACACTGTAGAGTAGTAAACCTGTTTCCATCCAGTTGTAGACACATTCTAACGAATAAAGAAAGAAAAACATGCTCTTTTAGGTTAAATTGGACACAGTTGCAGCATTGTGTTTATTTTTAAGAGCAGATTTAAAGTGCTAACTGACCTCTTTGTGTCTGCATGTGTATGCGCACGTCATGTGTCCTTTTCAGATAGGTCAGTTCTTCGGTGAGGTGGATCCAGTGCTGATGATCAGCCTAGTCAACACATCTCTGTACTCCTTCAACAAGACATATGACTATCAGTCTGTCTGTGACCCAGAGAAAGACAGCAAAGCAGCAGCTGGACCTCGATCCATCTATGTGGTTAGACAACTCTTTCACAAAGCTGTTATATCTTACAAGGACCAAGTGTTACAAGGTTTTGTTCTGGTCTCTTTCCAGCCCACTATCGCAGACTTGCTGAGTATTGGTTGGTGGGCCTCCAGCGCTGCCTGGTGAGTGTTCAATTTGTAGATTGGTGATTCTCTGTTTGCTTCTTTCCTTACTTGTGTCAGCATTTGGTAGTATGAGTACACACTTACCTTAGGGGTGTAAGTTTAATAGACTTGTGTGTTTTTTAAAGATGATTCTGACTCAGTCGGTGTAGGACTTGGGCAGTTATGCAACATAGCACTGCACCTATGTCTGGTTGTTCAACTGCAAAGAAACCCACTTTTAAAATTGATTAGACAATACGTTATATTAAATGTAGATCACCAATGATGAAGATATGTTAACCTCAACATTGGACTTCCCTCTCTCTCTGCTGTTTGTGTCCTAGGTCAATGCTACAGCAGCTCTTTGTCGGTCTCTTGTTTCCCAACCTTTTTAAAGCAGGTGAGATAAATAAATGAACATTAATTTAATAAACCTAGTTTTTTTACTCTACACTTTCAGTTGTAACAAAACATTGTACCTATGAGATGATAAAATAACCAATTCTTGAATTGACTGGTTATGCCAAAAAAAAAAATACAAAAAAGAAACAAAAACAGAAACAGCAGTAACTTCAATAAATAAAGTTGTAAAGGTTTACGGACACGAAATGTACCAGTGCAGTGCAACATCAGTCTGTGGCTAGATGAGGTTGTGCACTTCCAATACAAGAAGAATTGTGGTGGACCCTTTTGATGAGTTCAGTAGAAGAGGGGGAAAAAAACTGTCTGTACTTTGAGTTCAACCTCCTGCCAGAAGGAAGCAGAAACACACCATAATCTTAGCTGCCCACTTCATGGTCATGGAGGTCAAGAGGTCCTCAAGTTAGGACAAATTACATCAATCACCTTCACAAAAGGTCTTGAGGTCCCACCAACTGAGTCAGTGGAGGTTGCTGGGAAGAGGACGTTTTGGGTTTCACTGCTGTCCCCGTGGCCAAAACCAGATAAGAAGCACACGACGATAACCATGAACACACAAGTTTAACCCAAAGCAAATTACACACTTTAAATCAACAATGTGTAGTTTTTACCATTAATCTCAAAATATCCATCGAAATGTTCTTAAATGATGCCTAGTTGTTGTGCCCCCACTGGGACTGGTAGATAGGGGTTTAAATCTGAATGGGTCATACCAAAAACTTTAAAAATAGGACCAAATGCTTTCCAGCTTGACACTCAGCTTTAAGGTGTTGGGTTGGGGGGTTAAACCACCAAAATATTTCTCAAGCACAGCCACTGCTGCTGCTTACTGCTCCCCATGGGGATGGGTCAAATGCGGTGATGTAAATTCATCCGTGTGTGATGATGACTGATCGAGTCTAAAATACATAAGAGCGGGTCTAAGTATCTGGGCGATGCCATATTAGACGCAGTATTTTCTTCTACGGGAGCCCGTGAGGACAAAACGAATTTACTGATTTGTAACGAGCAGTTACAAAACCTTTGCCATTCATAAATGTTGTTTTTTTACACATTTACTTCTTCACTTGTTGCGAGTGATGAAAGGGAATCTGACGTTCTTGTCATTTTGCTGGAGCTTTAACAATCTGACAAAGTACTCGTTTGGAAATTGCACTACCAGGGATTTTTGACCCTAATGGCGATCCGTTTGTAAGGTCTTACTCTAACACAAAAATACTCCCTGCTTGCAATGATTTAGGTACGTACTGCCCCTATCGTCGGGGGAAATGCACATCGTCATTGAATTTGAGTCCTTTAATACACAATGACAAATGGGATCATTTCCAGTAAAAACAAATGCAATAAGAACTGGTTCAGGGCAGACGTTAATTGTGTTCATCTCATTAAGAATTTGAAATAGAGATCAACTTTTTCTAAGAGGTATAACACCACATCCTCACTGATTCTTCTCTGGTTTTTATATCTGGATCTTTCATTTCCAGTGGAGTCAGCAGACGAAGACATACCAGACGCCATGTTTAAAGAAAGCTGTATCACCGAGCAGACACAGTACTTTTTTGACAACGATGAGAGATCGTACTCTGGTACACTGGACTGTGGAAACTGTTCCAGGTAAATCCATGTCTGTCCATATTTTAATTATGACTTATATTTATAATTTTAATAGGATGTGCCATTCAGAATGTCACACCTTTTATCTCTTAAACTCACATTCCTCAGTCTAGTGGTCCCTGAAGATTTACACAGAAAGCAGACACACATTACCTTGATCTGTCTTTGAAAAGAAACACAAGGGCAAGGGCAAAAACTTTCTAAAGCTGTTTTTTTCTTCATTCAGGCTTTGGTTTCTCTTACTAATTCTGAGAAAATCTCATCTTTTCTCTGCTCTAACCTTCTTTTGTTTCATTCCATGCTCTGTGAGAGGATTTATTACAACTTTACTAACTGTTATGAGTCTCACATGCCTGTTTACTCTCCAAAGTTAACTATAGACACAAAAATGTTAACGACTACCATAAAACACCAATCTCAAGAGTAGAGAAGTGCATGAATGTGCCCAATTTCATGTGCATCAACATTATAAACAGTAAACACAAGCATGTATTGTGAGGGATTTAAATGCACAGTTTTATATGCATATTTGCATGCCTCTGTGTTTATGTGGTTCCATGTTTTGCTTTATTTTTCTAGGTTGTACCGTGCAGAAAAGATTCCTAACACTAACCTGGTGTTTCTAATAACTGATGCAAAGGCAACGTGTTTATCATGTGACCCAAAGCCCCTTCGGCAGGCCGAGCAACCCTGTATCCTTGCACTAAGACTGTAAAATCTAACAATAACCTTTCTTATGTGATTTTTTTTATCCTACATCGTATCACTCGCTGGACATTTGGGCTTCACACTGTCTATACAAGGACACACACCTGAAGAGTTTTAGTTGATCCTCTGTGGCTGTTCAACAGTAAACCAGATGCTCCGCATATGAAAAGTGATCTATTACTCTTGAATTAGAGTTTTGTGTTTGAGTTCATTTGGGCTACAGGCTCCCATCAGATTAAATTATATAATTTGGGTGTGCTTTAATAGCATCAGCACATGTGTTCAAAACAGTATCTGTAGCCTTTCACAGGTGTAGATGAAGTTACAAACCACAGTGATGATGTGTCTGCCATGTGATGACAATGATGATACCAGTCTACATACACAATTACAGACAATTACAGTATTTACTCATATTTTTAATAAATGTGCAGTGGTCTGTAGTAGGAATGAATGCCTTGTATATTCTGAGGACAAAAAGCTGCAGAGAGCCTCAGATAACAGAGTTTGGAGTCTTATGTCTTAATATTTTGATATCTCGCCTTGAATTGGATAACAACGTGACCCTACCACTGACTCTGTTTGCTCTGAAACATGGATGTTTTATCTCTATAAATACCACAAGCCTGGAGGATTTGGTCTTGTTGTGGCACTGCTAATGCTAACAGTTAGCTTCTACTAGTCGAGTCGTTCTCTGGTGTTTCCAGGACGCTGAACCAACAGCATCTTGTGAGTCAAAATGGGTGTATCCATGAACATTTATTGACAGTGTGATGTAATCTGGCAGGATTTTTTAATCCAAGCATTTCACCATCTATTTTCTATCAAAATCTAAAGCAGGAGATAGATGTACCACACCATTTTCAAGTTGCATCGGAAACATGGCGTCATCGATCATTTTCAAAAATAATAAGTAAAAATTGGTTTCTCAGTGAAGGATCATTTAAAATGATATTTAAAGTGCTTGTTTAACTAGCAGCAAAGTGTCATAATGAAACACGATCACTCATCCTCTCAGCATTAGTACACAATCTCTTAATTGTACAAAACAAGAGGAAGATTGAACAAATACTGATGAGATGAAACGATATATGGAGATATTTATTTCTTGTTAAAATTGGTCAAATGTACACCTTTATTAGCAGATGGTACTGTCCTGAGTGTGTGTTCAGCTGAAGGTCCGAATCCATGTGAGCTGGCTCAGAACCCCAGATATCGCAAAGGACCAGATGTGTGTTTTGACAACAATGAAAATGTAAGTCAAAAACATTCATATGTCTTTATTCAAAGAATATTGATATTGAACAGCTATCTGTTTTTTTTTTCATCTTTGTTTTCTACAGTTTTGAAACATGTTTTAAATTGGTAGCTGTTTGTTTTAGTCTTGTTTGCATATTTTTGGTTTATTTGATATTTGCACTTTTGTTAATTTCTCATAATTCAAATGTGACCCATCTGTTTCTTTCTGTTTAGTTTGCATCATCACACCTCTCATCAACCTTCATTTTTCTTTTGTTTCTGCATTCCAAGGATGAGCCACTGTGTCCAATCAGCAGAGGTTTTACGTTCAGCTTCTCGCCCTTTCAGTTGTTTCTGATTCTGACTTCAGGGTCAGTGTCTCTATGCAGCTCACAACCCTTCAGCACTGATATTTTCATATCAAACTTTACTCAAAGACACTCCTGAACTTTGCGGGATAAATGCTCTCTGTCGCCATCTCAAGGCTTGCTGTGTAATGTCACTGTTGAAAAATCAAATCTCTGTCGCACATAAGAGGCATGTTTACTGCTTGTTTTCCAGCTCGCATGCCCAAACAAACACATTAAACGGCATTTCAGCAATGACTAAAGTTTGATCAGGACTGTATAACAACAAAGCTTTTTTTCCACAAAATCAGACACATGGTATGGTGTGGTAAATAAAATCTGAATAAAAATTCATTTGAATAGAAAATCCTTTCAGGTAAGCCAGAAAATTCAATAGTAATCTTACATGATCTGTTTTCAATTGAACGCTGGTTGTTGTAACCGTAGACTGCACAATATAGTTTCTCACACTGCTTTGACTTTGGAGAGTGAAGAGACCCATCCAATATGGCACTCTCCAGCGCCCAATGGGGCATTTAAGTATTCGTGTCTATGGGGTCTACATGATACTGCTTAAAACTATTTAATGTGAAATTTGAAACTTGATGTGTCCGTACACAACTTATGTATCAAAGTAATGGCTGGCAAATAAATCGAAAATGTATCATTATCGACATTTCTGACTCTTATCGAGATAATTTTTCACATGTCAATAAATTTGATGATTAAAAAAATGAAAAAATGTGTGCAGGTTGGCAGCGTTCATGTCGCTTTAAGAAGCTGTACCACCTTGAGTCACATAAACTTGGGACTCAACCTAATTTATGTGACAGCCCCATCTAGTGGACCACTTTTGTTTCTTTGCATACCTGTAGCTATTGTCCATTTATTGTTATCGAGTTGAAATCCTTAATATACCATGGTATTGAGTTTAGACCATATCGCCCAGTCCTAATCTAAAGCCTGGAGCACACCAGAGGCGGACGCACTGTGCCATTTCGGCGCCGCGCCGCACCTGCGCCTCACCTGCGCCGCACCTGCGCCGTCATTTAAAATAGAGGCTTTTATAGTTAATGGGAGTGGACACACAGTGAGCACCGCTTCTCTTCGCAGAGATGCCACGCCGAGTCGCTGAAAATAGGCACCAGTTCTATCTCAAGCGCCGCGACGCAGCTTCATAAACTTTGCTGCAAGGTGTGTCCGTCTCCGGTGTGCTCCAGGCTTAAGTCACCCTTAACTTCCTCTGAGATGCCTTTTTAATTATGCTGCCTGCTTTTTGTTGATTACCTAAAAACTTAAATGAAAACAGAAGATTTAGTAACACTTTTACCTTCAACCGGCTGCTTCTTTTCCTTCGACATTTCTGAAATTATTATGTGCAGATCACTTTACAGTTCAAATGACATTTATGTGATTGATCTTGTTTAACTAAGAACATACATGCCTTTAATTATGTCTGTTCATATTATTATCTTAAGAGTATAAATAGCTGCTTCATTCTCAAAACCGGTAAACACACCCTCATGTATTTTTTTTTCTTTTAGATCTCTAGTTTGTTATCTTGGATCAGATAAATTAGCTCATTATTCGTAGCTAAATTTATTTTATTTTATCAAGTGATCTTTTTCATGTGATCACACCCAATAAATGTCGTTTCTGACTCCTGGGAAGGATCTCTGAACACTTTCCTTTTTCTTGGAAAAACAATGAGGAAACCTACCTTTGCTTTAGACAGCTGGGAGATAATAACATAAATTAAGGTGTTATCACAACAAAAAAAGCTTTGTTAGTCCAGGACATCAAAATATAGAATTTATTATCATGAGATTACAGCTTTATTTCAAACAAGGCTATGATTTAGCAATGAAGTGTAATTTGGCAATTGGTAATATTTTGACAATTCTTTCAGACAAAGAAGCAGATTATGTTGTTTTATTCTGATTCACGTGGGTCACAAGTCACTTTTAGTTGACTATTCACATAAAAATATCTTGTGCCAGATTTAGGGTTTGACTGCCTTTGGATTTCTAGAAAAGAGCAAATTAAGATCAGTAAAAGATCAATGGGATGCTTGTGCACTGTGTCAGTTCACTGGATTCACTAAAACAAAAGAGCAAGGCGTATAAATCGTGTGAGAATTAGATCACCACCCAAATTTCCACAATTCACGAGGCGACTAAATATTTAGTACACACCGTTTCCCATATCTGGATGATTCCCGTCTTTCATTGTGTTCTAAATGCATAAATCCTACTCAAAACTAGCTAGCAATTCATGTTAGCATGTGTTTAGATTACAGAGAGGCCCTGCAGGGAAGCAAATGGGAGGAGGTACTGGCTGAGGAAGTGGTTGAACAGAGTAAAAGAAGGTGGTGCCCCTTTTCCCTTTATCCAGCTGTCCTTTTACTTTTGGCTACGGTCCTCACAGGAAGACCGTTTGTGTCCAGGCCAGTTCATTTTGTCACTGGAGTAAACAGAGGAAGCTTCACATGGCTTTCCTGCCCTTTGAATAAAGACGCGTCTCATCTCGTACCCTGAGACTTTAGTCATGCAGGGACATCCTGAAAACACCCTTCAAAAAAAATATCTAAATAAATCAAACAGGTGCATGCACACACAAGCACAAAAGAGAAATCAGGCAGGAAACATGTTTAAAATTACACTGGAGCTATGGACAACTTTCCATTTACAGGGAGAGGTGGGTTCTTATTTACTGACAATTTATGTTTTCAACAGGAAGATGATTCTGACTGTGGAGGAGGGAACTGCTTAATACCAAGTCTCTGGCCAGCGCTCGGCATCCATCTGCTGCTGTGGTTCACCAAATCGTTACAAGATTCATGACCCCTGCTCACACTCCGACGCTCCGTTACACACCCATCATCCTCGCATTTCATAGCAGGCCAGACGGCATGCCACTTGCGCCGCACAGGATGTATGCAGAACCTTTCGCAACACCAACGACCAGTATCAGCATTTTCATTCTCCAATGCCAAAGGGTGTTTGTTCATTTCGTCGCCCTCATTTTTAACATTAGAGACACATTTAATGTGCTCAGCTGCACTCATTTACATGATCCTCTGGTGCAAGAGTAAGAGCTAACCAAACCCTTTAATTCTGCCTCATTTGTTTCTTTGATTTTATTTCTTGAGGAATAACCCCACTATGCCAACTGAAGATCATTCAAAGACTATGTTCACTGACAGCATCGATTTGTGAAGTTGTCAGTATTGTTTGTCGCTTATTATATTTGTTCCATATGGATCATTATGCTGAAATGTCTGTTTTATGTTTCTTTCATTTAGTGCATATATATATATATATATATATATGTATATATATATATATATATATATATATATATATATATATATATACATACATACATACATACATACATATGAATTATGTTCTCCTTTGCAAAATCAACAAGCGTTTTGTGACTAGCTAGGCATTTTGTGGTAACAGCATGTGCACATCGGTACAGAACTTCGAATGACACCAAAGCTCCCAACAGTACCATGGACCTCAACAACTTCTACAAAGAATGTGCACGAGGTGTTTATTTCAACAGGTTCCTTTAATGTGGCTGTAAGTTAGTACACAAGCTAACCCCGGTTTCACACTGAAAGCATCAGCTGCACAGAACGGCAGCGGAACGTCACAGCAAGTAGAATCCATTATAGTCTATGGACTGATTCAAACCAGCTGCAACGAGACAATTTACCCAGAAGAGGCATGCCGCACCACTAAAGATCGGATCGGGTTCTATTTTTGCCTTGAGCCAGTTCTGGGACACGTCAATTTCCGCAGATAACATAGGGCTAGACAGGAAATCACACACAGTTTCAGTGTAAAAATCTCTGGTAATTTTCAAAATAAAAGTACTGCAGTGATGCGATTTCATATATATATATATATATATATATATATATATATATATATATATATATATATATATATATATATATATATATAATATTAGTGTACATGTGACCAACAGCTTATTTCTTAGTATCCAGAAGTGCAGTGGTGTGTTTTCATGGCTTTAATCCTGGCAGTGCAGAGGAACTACATCATATATGACATCAAACAGTGATATCAAAGGTGATTTCCTTCATTTTGGTTTAATGGCAGGTTGCATAAACAAACTGTGACCTTTGAAGTCACAAGGGATCTTGTAATCTTGCAAGAGCACAGCAAGGAAGGCCATACCGTGGCCAAGACTCTCCTGGTGTGTAATGGATTGCTTTGAAGATCGCGAGTAAACCATCCCACAGCCCTTTTGCGCTGCTTGAGACTTCCCGTGTGAAACCAGGATTAGACATTAGATTCATATCGTCTTTGAAAAATAAAGGAAATGATGTTGCACACACTGTAAGATCTGATGGGATTTTTATTTTTTTGGAAATGTTTGTGGTTGTACCGACAACTTTGGCTCGTCTTCAGCTAGATGCTTCAAATTCCCAGTGCCTACATAGTAGCTTGAACATTCTGGTACAAGAATAAAAGCAGTGCATCGGAGTTGTATTCTCACCGTGTATGCCTCTATGTTAATGCCTGTTGCGGTAGAAGCGGCGAGGTCAAACCCTTGCACTAATCTTTCATGAATGGAGCCAGATCTGCTGCTGGTATTCTGATTCCTCACACCCACCCAAAAATAGAATAAACCAGTGGCTTTGATTCTTAGAGAGGAACACTACTGTGCTCCCTGGAGAAAACAAACCAGAGTCAAGCTTGTGTTCCAGCATCTCTCTCTTTATTATTAATCCTGTTTCTGTTCCTTTTCTGGATCACCAGACTCAGGAGCCAAGATGACTTGTGAATGAGATCAGCATATCAAAGACTGTTTGCTTGTTTTTCTCTTCCGTGCTGTGTCCTCCCTTTGCTTGTTTCCCCCCCCTTTTTTTTATTTGTGTTGCTCTAAAAGTGCTGTGAAGTTGACGCTGAAGGCTCAGCGTTGAAATGCTGCAATGTCATGGAATGAGCTTGTTCTGTGTTTGAACACGGTCTACGGTCAGCATCAGGGCCTGCTGGAGAGAAACGTTCAGGACGCTCTACCACCAGTTGTAATTTTGCATTGCCTTACTTCATCGTGGGACACAGAAATCACATCAGAGTTAAATTTCTCTTCATGATTTTTTGTAGTTTGAATGATTTCTCTCTATCTCGCCCTTTTGGGGACATGCCGGTGTTGAGTGATCAGGTTATGCTTGTCCATCGAAGTCGCGTGTTGACTTGTGTTTTACCCCAGGGGGTCTTGTGTCTATGTGCAGGCATGTGTGTGTCCCTCTGATCTCTGATTGTGCTTTAATACCGTACACGAAATACTCTTTTGTGGATCTTCACTAGCCTGAATACGTTTTGTATACATTTGTACACTAATACTATTTAATGTATAAAAGAAAAAATAAACGAGAGAAAAATGTTTATAATATTGTGATGATTATTGTGCAAATATTTATTCACAATAAAAGTGTTGTTATGGCTGGAGATTCTCTTGTTTGCTCATATGTGTTTTTATTTTTATTTTTTACCTCGCTGAAGGACATGAAATAATCATCTTGCAGAAAATGGAAAGAGCATAATCAAAACATGTGCTTCACATTACTTATCATTTACAACTACACATGGAAAATTCTGATCACTTCCACAATAAAAAGGCAAATCTGAAAAACAAGATAGCTTACAATATATTTTATGCCTCTTAATGTTCTAATATAGTACAGCTATGAATATTTTGTAGAGATTTTAAAAAAGGAAAAAAATAATGAAGTGTTTGTGTCACATTTGCTTTAAAACCTCAGCCAATAACAAGGCTCGGCAAGAAACCAATGAGAAGCAGCCGGCTGCCACCACTTAAACTTTAACACAAATTACCCGAGTCCCAAAAAGAAACACACCATTTGAAGTCACGGATGGCATAAGATGTTTGGACGTAGAAAATGGTGTTTAGCGCTTTCTCGTTTACTGTGGTAATGCAGTTTCCAGTATCACACTACTGGCTCATCTGCTAAAGAATAACAACAACATGGAAATCCTTGTAATGATTCATGTATTTTAAAATCAGAAGCAGTGCAGAGGTTGATCAAGATGACGTTTGCATGAACATCCATCCATCCATCCATCCGTTTTCATCCGCTTATCTGGAGTCGGGTTGCGGGGGCAGCAGCCTAAGTCGAGAGGCCCAGACTTCCCTCTCCAACGCTACTTGGGCCAGCTCTTCCGGGGAAAACCCAAGGCGTTCCCTGGCCAGGTGAGAGACATTGTCCCTCAAATGTGTCCTGGGTCTCCCTTTAGGCCTCCTACCGGTTGGACGTGCCCGGAAAACCAGGGAGGCGTCCAGGAGGCAGCCTGACCAGATGCCCGAGCCACCTCAACTGGCTCCTCTCGGTGTGGAGGAGCAGTAAATCTACCCCGAGCCCCTCCCGGATGACCGAGCTTCTCACCCTATCTCTAATGGAGAGCACAGCCACTCTGTGGAGAAAACTCATTTTGGCCGCTTGTATCCGCAATCTCGTTCTTTCGGTCACTACCCAAAGCTCATGACCACAGGTGAGGGTAGGAACGTAGATCGACCGGTAAACCGAGAGCTTCTCTTTCTGACTAAGCTCTCTCATCACCACGACAGGCCGGTGCAACGCCCGCATCACTGCAGACGCAGCACTAATCCGCCTATCGATCTCGCGCTCCAGCTTTACCTCACTCGTGAAAAAGACCCCAAGATACTTAACCTCCTCCACTTGGGGCAGGACCTCATCCCTGACCCAGAGAAGGCATTCTACCTTTTTCCTGATCTAATTCAAATTTGCATGAACAACTAAAACAAATTTGAGATAAATTTTGATGTAAGACAAAAGTCAACTGTTTATCTTTAGCCTCAATGTAATTAGCCATTTATTTTTCCTAAAACATTGTCTATTTAGCCCCAAAAAGTCAGCTGTCCCTTCAAATTGATTTAGCATTTTCTTTACACAATTTATTTTTTTAATTTTAAATTAGGTCTGACAAATTCCATCAGTGATAGTGTTTTCTCCCCACAGTATTCCTTAGGAGGTTTGTCTGTATGTACAATAAAAAAAAACAACCTAGTAAAGTTAGTTTTAACAAAGATCCTAATCCTGTTTTTTGTTTTGTGCTACCTTTTAACAACATAAATGACACAAGAAGCTCCACTGTTTCCTGCCTGTAGCAACACAGAGGAAGGTCATGCTAACATCAGTCACAGAGAAATGTCCTTAAAGTACATTTCACACACCAGAGCTTGCCCTTATCTGATAGTAATCTAAGAATCAGTGCACCCAAAGTACCAGTGTTTGTTTTTCTTAGAAATGCATCAGGGTGGGAGGTCATCTTACTTATACGACACAGTAATGATGCAGACAAGAGGCTGAAACAGGATACCCTCGTAAACAGGCACGAGG